GCTGTGTCCCAAAGGTTTTGGTATGATGTGTTTTCATTCTCATTTGATTCTAGGAATTTTTTGATTCCATCTCTGATTTCTTCTATTACCCAGTGATGTGCAAGCAGGGTATTATTCAGTTTCCATGTAGTTGAGTTTTTTTCCTTGCTCTCTCTATTGTTAATTTCTACCTTGATGACATTGCGGTCAGAGAAGATACTTCGAATTATCTCAACGTTTTGGATCTTGTTGAGGATTGCTCTGTGGCCTAAGATGTGGTCTATTCTAGAGAATGTTCCAACACATGGAGAGTATTTAATAGCAAACTATTTAAGAAGTTATTAGGTGCATTTCACCACTTATTTTTACACACAAATATAATGATCAGTTTATTTCAATTCATCATTGTGTACCTTTTTTTTCCAAAGAAAGATTTTAGGCAAATTAGAAAAATGACTATAATCATTAATATAAGATAGGTAATAAGATTAAAAAAAAAAGATAAAAGAGAAACAAGAGTGATATATACAGAAGCATGTCAGTGAAGAGTGTCAATATAACTTATAGACTGGACCATAAAATCCAGCTCTCAATTTTGAGGGAGCCAAAGCCAAAAGGAATGAAACGATGTAATTTTCATTGACAAAAAGTTTCTTTGGTACCTAAATTTGAGAAGAAATTTTTTTAAAGAAAAGTTAAAATGCAGCCCCTGGATGGTGGTGAAGCACTGAACTACCAGCCAAAATGGTGGTTTGAACCCATCCAGAGGCAACTTGGAAGACAGGCCTGGCGATCTGCTTCTGAAAGGTCACAGCCTTGAAAACCTTATGGAGCAGTTCTACTCTGCACGCATGGAGTTGCCATGAGTTGGAATCAATTCCCACTCAGTTTACTTTGTTAAACTCATTGGCACTCAAAATAATACTAGGTAGTTAGATTAATGATAATATTCAAGGATAATATTACGTGTGGGTGGGGTTGAATAATATTTATAAAGAACTTTTTAGCATTGTGGAATAAAAAAATTGCACAATGTCCACTTGTCTTTATCTTGGGAAGAATTTAGTAGGTGGGCGTGTGTATATGTGTGTGTTAAGTATGTAGATGTGTATATATATCTCAAACATAATGATTGTGAGCATGGTACAGGACTAGGCAGTGTTTTGTTCTGTTGTACATAGGGTTGCTACGAGTCGGAACCAACTCGATGACATCTAACAGCAACAACAACAACATATATATCTGTATATATATGTAATATAATGTGTACATACACACACACACACACATACACGGTATATAATATACACAATACGTAATATTTCCCCAACTTTCTCACTTTAAATTGATTGACTAACAGCAACAATGGTGTTTATGTAGATTTTCCTTATTTATTAAGTCCATATCATAAATATTCTAGGCAGTTGTATGTCTTCTATTTTTGGTGATATCTGTTGTTGTTAGGTGCCGTCCAGTCAGTTCCAACTCACAGCAGCCCTATGTGCAACAGACCAAAACACTGCCCAGTCCTGTGCCATCCTCACAATAATTGTCATGCTTGAGCTCATTGTTTAAGCCACTGTGTCAGTCCATCTCGTTGAGGGTCTTCCTCTTTTTTGCTGACCCCCCTACTTTACCAAGCATGATGTCATTCTCCAGGGACTGGTCCCTCCTGACAACATGTCCAAAGTACTTGAGAGGAAGTCTAACCATCCTTGCTTCTAAGGAGCATTCTGGCTGGACTTTTTCCAAGACAGATTTGTTCATTCTTCTGGCAGTCCATGGTATATTCAGTATTCTTTGCCAACACCATAACTCAAAGGCATCAGTTCTTTTTCGGTCCCGCTTATTCATTGTCCAGCTTTTGCATGTATATGAGGTGACTGAAAATACCATGGCTTGGGTTCTGGCACCTTAGTCCTCAAAGTGACATCCTTGCTTTCCAACACTTTAAAGAGGTCTTTTGCAGCAGATCTTCCCAATGCAATAAATACATCGTCTGATTTCTTGACTGCTACTTCCACACGTGTTGATTGTGGATCCAAGTAAAATGAAATCCTTAACAACTTTAATCTTTCTCTCCATTCATCATGATGCTGCTTATTGGTCCAGTTGTGAGATTATATCTAACAAAACTGATAATCTCTCACTATAAAAGAAACCATTATTGAGATGTGCAATGTCAACTCATCTTTTTCCTTTCTCTTCTCTCCTCTTTCCCCATATATTCTCAAAGAGAATATTTATCCCCAGCATCAGGCTTCCAGAGCTTTCAGTTTCGTCTACTAGAAAACAAGATAGGTGTTCTTCAGAGTATGAGAGTCCCTTACAACAGAAGACATTATCGTGATAACTTCAAAGAAGAAGATAATGAACTTCTACTTAAGTCTGAGCAGGAAAAATCACTTCTGCAACTAGTGGAGGTACATGCTCAAATCCTCTTGATAAAGTTAACTCAATGCATCTTGTTAATTCAACTTTTGCTAGAGTATATTTTTAAAATTCGTATCAAAGTTGCATCACTTGCGTCACGAAGAAGAGAAATAATTTTTTAAAAATACTTAAACTGACAAATTTAATTTATTGAAAGATTTAGAATATTAAGAAAAAATATTAAGGACCCTTTTAAGAACATCAGAAATCTGTATATAATTAATTGTAGGTAAATATTTTAATAATGTCCCCATCTAATTAAAGCAATATTTTTAAACATCTCTACTAAGCAACTTTATTTAGCTGATTATACACTGAATGTGGTTAATTATTTAGTACCTTGTATTTCTCGCAAATATGCCATAATTGAAAATTGCCCCCTGCTTGGTGTGTTTGTTAATGGAACTAAATCCCTAACAGTAGACTCTTCAGGGGTGTTTCCCCTTTGTGATTCCCTGTAGGTGTGTAAATTGTCTTGTGGAATTATCCATTTGTTTCTTCCAAGTAAATTTATAAATTAAAAGTGTATGGTTTTGATTTCCTTTACAAGGCTTTTTCCTTTGCAAATTAAACTTTTCTTCTGGTGAATTAAACTCTGCTCATTAATCCCCTGGGTATTATAAATGTGGATTTTGGTTAATGTCTTATATATAATGTTGTATAAGGACTTATAAAGATAGGGAGAGAAAGACTCACAAAGCTAATTTAGAAACAAATAATAGGTTAAATGGGAACTCAGAGAGATGCATGAATTGAGGTCTATTTCAAGATTAAAAAGTCTTGTGGGATCTTAAAATAATTTTGTGGGCAGTTGATGTCAAACTTCCTAATTACACAATATCCTTGCATTTAGAAGAAGTCATACATTATATATGCTGTAATTCTTTCAGTTACTAAAACATATTTTGAGAAGATAAACCAGAAGGCCTGTTTAAAGCAATGTCTAGATGTCTTTGTAGACTTATAAAACAAATTTGAGATTCCTGTAAACATGTATTTTTTAAGAAATAAAGAGTAAATATTATTAATCATGATTGCCCTAAAAATTTGGAAAATGAAATATGATCAATTGCTATTTCATAAATGAAAAAATTGAAGTGAAAAAGAAATATTTACAAATAAAACCTTAAGACATATGCTTTTCAAAACTATAAAGATTTACTGGTTCAAGTTCCTATATTTTAGTTATAATGTGTTTTACATATTTTATATATTATCATATATTCACCTAAAAATAATATTTACTTAAGGCATGGCTGGAAAGAACACCAGGTTTAGAACCACATGGATTTAACTTCTGGGGAAAACTTGAAAAAAATATTATCAAAGGCCTGGAAGACGAATTCACAAGGATTCAGGTATTTTTGATGTATGAGTAAATATACATCTACTACAGAAGAAGTAGTGGGAATTTTATTTTAATCATTCTTCACTTTTCTCTTAACTTTTCGTTTTTCTTACATTCTTTTTCTTTATAGATGTATCATCTTGGAATGTGTTGCATGATTAACTTGATTCTATTTATGTGCAAGAAAAATGATACTAAATGAAGGAGTTAAATTAAGGTTTTGTCTGGAATAAATAGCTGAGATTAATTAAAAAAATTTCCATTTCTATGGAAAATTCTACATTATAACCAATTTTAGGAAGGAACGGGCACATAAAGGACCAGTGAAACAAATAATTAGCCGTATAGTTTTTCCTTCATTTTTGTATATTTATTGGCTCCTTCCTATTAGCTCTCTGACAATGTAAGTTTCTCCCATTTAAAAAAATATTATTGATTCCTCGGTTTCAAGCCTATCTCTCACCTTCTCTTCACTACTAAAACTTGTGAAAGAATTGTTTATAATTTATAAATTGAGAGGCTGTATAAGGTAGCGCTTAAAGCATGAACTTTGAAGTCACACTGCATGGGTTCAAATTCCACCTCTACTTCTTAACAGTTGTGTAACATTGAGCAAGTTACTTAACCTCTCTTTGCCTTACTTTTATCATTGGTCAAGTAGAAAATAAGAGTATCTTATTTATAGTACGGAGGCCTGGTGGCACAGTGGTTATGCACTGGATTGCTAACAAAAAGGCAGGTGGTTGGAACCCACCAGCTGCTCTGCAGAAGAAACAAGTGACAGTCTGCAGTCTGCTTCCATAAAGATTTACAGCCTTGAGGCGGAGCCAACATGGCACTATAGACAGAAGCATCATGCTGTCCTTCTGTAGCAAAGACCTGAAAAACTAAGTAAAACAGATACAAATGACAATCTTGGAAACTTGAGCACCAAATAAAGGAATAAAGAACTCGATCAAGCACCAAAAGGAATAAGAAACTGACAGAACAGAGAACAAGGGGAGCTACAGAGTGGAAGTCCCCTACCAGCTAATGTGGCACAAATTCGCCATCTTGGACTACAGCCACCAAAGAACGCAAGCAGGGAGTATGGGAAGGCAACTTCGTGGAGCTCCCAACAGGAGACAGAGCACCTGGTAACCAGAAATACACACTTTCCCACCCCGTACCTTTCTTCCCTGTAGGAGGCCTCCACCAATTTCCAGCAGGCCATGGTTGCTCTGCTGGAGAGATACCAGCTCACCGCCACCTGGATTTGCCATCTTGGACCTCAGCCACCATGGACTGCAGACAGGGAGTACAGAAAGGCAACTCCATGGAGCTCCCAGCAAGAGACAGAGCACGCAGTAACCAGGGATACATGCTTTCCTATCCCCTAGCTTTCTTCCCCCTATGTGATCTCCACAGCTTTCCAGTGGGCCACGGTCGCTCAGCTGAAAAGACACCAGCTCACTGCCACCAGGGTCTACCCTTCCCCTACTGGCTGGCCTCTTCAGTGCTATTTGTTTGTTTTATTTGCTTGATTTTTTTATTTTTATTTTTTTAATTTTTTCTTGCTTCTCTCTCTCTCTCTCCCTTGCTTTCCTTTCTCCCACCCAGCTAGCCCCGTGTGCCATCCCCACTCATTCTTGATGGGCTATGATTTTTTTGGTTTGTTTATTTTGTTCTTTTTTTTTTTTTCTCTGTTTCTTCTCTCTCTCTCCTTTCCTTTGTCACACCCACCCAGCCCTGTGCACTGCCCCTGCCCCTTCTCCAGGGGCCATGCTGCACCGCTTAGCTGGAGAGTCACTGAGAGCAGCTTCCTCAGGTCTGTGCCACCATCACTGACTGACTCCCTGAGGGCCATTTTATTTATTTATTTATCTTTTGTTTGTTTTTATTTTTTGTTGTTGTTTCTTATCTCTTTCCCTCCCTTCCTTCCTTTCATTTCTCACAATCAACTAACCCATGTGCCACTCCCTCCCCCCGTCTTGATGGGCGGTGCTGTACCATCCAGCTGGAGAGCCTCTGGCACATGGACCTCCCCAGGTCTGTGCCACCCCCACAAGTCAGCTCCTTCAGCACCATATTTTTTAGTTTTCTTTATCCTTACCCTTCTTCCTTTTCCTTCACACTCCCACCTAAGCCCTGAGCTTCCTCCACCCCTTCAGGATAGGATGTGCCGTGCCACCTGGAAAGAGAGGCATCAGCTCATCACCACCTCAATTCTGCCCCGTTCCCAATGGCTGGGTCCTCTACCACCATATTTTGTTGTTGTTTTTTAATTTATTTTATTATTTATTTTGTTTGTTGGTTGGTTGGTTTCTTCCCTCTCTTTCTCCTTTTTCCTTTCTTTTCTTGCCCACCTAGTCCCATGCACTGTCCACGCTCCTTCTTGACAGACTGACCCACACTGCTCAGCTAGGGAGCCACCAACACATGGCCTCACTGGGTCTGCCCCTCCCCACCCACTGAACCACAATTTTATTTACTTCTTTTCTTTTTTCTTTCTTCCTTCATTAGTTTTTGCTTTTTTTTCTCTTTGTTCTTTCACCCACCCACATTTCTCTGCACATCACATCCTCTCCTTTACCTCCTGCCTATCTACACTGTGCTCCCAGCTCCATGCCCCTGAGCAGCACTGATGGGGTCCCCTGGGCCCTGCTCTGCACTGCCACCAGGCCCCACTCCATTGGCCCCAGTTCATGTTGCAAACTATCCATCCTCTCTCCTCCACCCCCACTGGACCTGCCCTGCTGCACCACAGCTAAGTGAATGGCCCTGCCCACCTGGAAAAGGTGATGAGAAGTATCGTGCCCACAGGTGAGCAAGCAACCAAACACAAACAGCCTGCCTGCCCAAACATAATCAAATAAAACAAAAAAGCAGTAGGAAACAAACAAATCTACAATTAATAAACAAAGAAAATAATTACTGAATGTCCCAAAGACAGCAGAGAATATAAAAACAAATTTAAAAAAAAAAAAAAGGGAGAGAATGGCTCCAGAAAGTGACCAAAATAAAACATCAGATGACCTTCTGGTAGAAGAAAAGGCACTGAAACTACTTGAGAGGGAACTCAAAACTCTAATATTCAGGGTTCTCCAAGAGACGAAGGAAAATGCAGACAAAAATAAGGAAAAAAATAGACAAAATCATGGAAAATGCGGACAAAGCAATGGAAGAATTCAGGAAAATAATACAGGAGCATAATGTCAGAATAAATAAACAACTAGAAATCATACAAAAACAGCAATTACAAATCCAAAAGATAAACAACAAGATTTCAGAAATGGACAGTGTGATAAAAGATTTAAGGAGCAGATTAGAAACAATGAATGACAAGATCAGCAAAATTGAAGACAAATCCTTGGATACTACTTTGAGGAAAAATCAGAGAAAAGAATGAAGGAAAAAAGATGAAACCCTGAGAACGATGTGGGATACAATCAAAAGCAAAAATTTGCATGTGATGGGAGTTTGAAAATAGGGGGATAAAAATGGAAAAAACCGAGATGAGCATTGAAGATTTATTGGCAGAAAACTTCCCTAGTATCATGAAAGTAAAAAAGTCAGCCCTCTAAGAAGCTCAACAAACCCCATATTGGATAGACCCCAAAAGAAAAACACCAAGACATATCATAATCACACTTCCTAAAACGAAAGACAGAGAAAGAATCCTGAGAGCAGCTCAAGGAAAACGAAAAGTCTCGTACAAAGGGGAAACAATAAGACTAAGCTCTGATTACTTGGCAGAAACTGTGCAGGGAAGAAGGCAATGGGATAATGTATATAAAATATTTAAAGAAAAAAAATGTCAACCAAGAGTAATATATCCTGAAAAACTCTTGCTCAAATATGATGGTGAAATTAGGACAATTCCAGATAAACAGAAATTAGAGGAATAAGTAAAAACCAAACCAAACTTACAAGAATTATTAAAGGGAGTCCTTTGGTTAGGGAACCAACAACATCAGACAACAACCTGAATCTAGGACATAAGACAGCATCAGCCAGATATCAACATAGATAATGAACTTTCAAGGATAAAACAAAACTAAAAAAATTTACAACACAGAACCAGAGAAGTCAATCTGTAAATGATAACAACGTCAGAACAATAAAAGAGGGAATAAACAGTGTAAGTACAGAACTTTCAAATGGAGAGAAAGTCAAGGAGTTATCAAGTAATAAATGACTCATTTAAACTTAGGAAGATAAGGGTAAATTTCAAGGCAACCACAAAGGAAGTTAACAAACCTACTCATTAAAATAAAGGAGAAAAACATAAAGTTTCAGAAAACACAAAATCCACAAAAATGAAAAACAAACAAAAAATCCACAAACAAAAGGAATTCAGCACAGAAGAGTAAGAGGAATATAGAAAATGTCAGCATCCAAAAAAAAAACCACTACAAAATGATAGCATTAAACTCACACCTATCAATAATCACACTGAATATAAATGGCTTAAATGCACCTATAAAGGGACAAAGAGTGACAGAATGGATAAAAAAACAGGGCCCGTCAGTATGCTGTCTCCAAAAGACACACCTTAGAAACAAAGACATAAATTTACTAAAAATCAAAGGATGGAAAAATATATATATCAAGCAAACAACAACCAAAAAAGAGCAGAAGTGGCAGCACTAATCTCAGATAAAATAGACTTTAAACAAAATCCACCATAAAAGACAAAGAGGGACACTGTGTAATGATTAAAGTGACAATCCATCATGAGGACATAACCATAATAAATATCTACGCACCCAATGACAGGGCTCCATAATACATAAAACAAACTCTAACAGCATTGAGTCTCACAATAATAGTAGGAGACTTCAACACACCACTCTCGGTAAAGGACAGAACATATAGACAGAAAGTCAGTCAAGATACAGAAGATCTAATGGCCACAATCAACAGACTTGACCTTATAGACATATATGGAACACTCCACCCAACAACAGCAAAGTATACATTCTTTTCCAACGCACATGGAACATTCTCCAGAATAGACCACATCATAGG